TGGGACTGAGGGAAGGGCTTCCCCTGTCAATCTCAGAGCCCATGCTGGTTCGTAGACATAGATGTGGTCTCAAAGATAGGTTGGACCCAAAGCATTGTTTTTTTGTAATAATTAATATAATCCAAAATAGATAATCAATTTGATATATGCAGTATGTTACTGAGTTACAAAACTTTTTTTGTTTCTGTATCACAGCTTCCAGACTCTGGGAACTATACAAGGAAAGTAATTTTCCCATATACTAGAAATTAGGTACTTCAGATTATAAGAACATATGCCGACTGAGCTAGGAAGACAATGTAACAGGGAGCAGGTGCACCACAAGAGGTACTAGAGCCAAGTGGAATCAAATGCATATTCTCACAGAGATCACTGCAAAAGAAACTTGTGAAAAGGATTCCGCTTTACAATCAAAGATGTTTTTGCTAAAAATGAATGCTTGAACGTAGGACCAGAATGAGTCACCTTGCTACATAAAGCAAATGACAACATAGTGTCCACTTCTAAGTTCAGATTTGGAAGCCAACCAGATTGCCACTTGAATTTTACTTCAACGCTGACAACAGAGCGACAGCTTCACCCCTAACTAAGTGATGGGAGCTAATAATAATAATAATAATAATAATAATAATAATAATAATAATAATTTTATTTGACTAGTCATATGACCATTTCAAACACGAATAAAATACAAGGCAAAAAGGTGAGGACAGCAGCTGACCTTCTATTTACAGTCAGAGTCTTATTGTCCTGGTTCTTCTTCAGGAAATGTGCTCTGGGATGGGAGCTATTACACAGGACACGACAAACATTGTGTGTTATATATGATAATGCCTTAAGGACAGTACAATATCTAGAGAAGAGTTTGCAACCATCTTTTAGAATCTGCTGCTTCAGGCATCTATCTCACTTTGTCTAAGGTTAGGATGAGTCTTGCTTGAAACCTTTGTACCAGAGGAATTTACCTGGCGACCGAAGCTTTGTTTGGCTGGTAGAACGGGACAAAGGCAAGCTTTGCCGGAAGCGGTTCATTCTGTTGAACCCTATGGGCAATTCGGCTTCAGACATGGTTTCCAGAGACTCTGCCGATGCAAAGGAGAGTTTGGCTTGATCAGCCAGGCCAGGCTGAGAACCCTGTGTGTGCCGGGAGCTTCGAGTCTGAAAGGTGGGAAAAAAAAAAAACCAAACTTGAGTACAGATAGGACCAGACTTTTTCTATCAATGAGTTGAAATAAGCACAGTCTGTGAACATGTCATCAATTCGCTATCAGATTTCTATGCCAGTCTAAGATCTAAATCCTGTTGTTTATCTCAACTAGAGAGGTTGATGCATCTATGATAACTTCAATGGCTCTGTAGTAAGGGAATATCAGCAAGGGTTGCTTGTTACCTGGTTTTGAGGCAAGCAACACTTGTTGAAATTCCCTACACAACCATTAGAGCAGTGTTTATCAACCTTCCTAATGCTGTGACCCTTTAATACAGTTCCTCATTTTGTAGCGACCCCCATGACATTATTTTCATTGCTACTTCATACTGTAATTTTGCTACTGTTATGAATCGTAATGTAAATGTCTGATATGCACGATGTATTTTCATTCACTGGATCAAATTTGGCACAAATGCCCGATACTCCCAAATTTCAATACTAGTGGGATTGGGGGAGATTGATTTAGTCATTTGGGAGTTGTAGTTGCTGGGATTTATAGCTCACCTACAATCAAAAAGCATTCTGAACTCCACCAATGATGGAATTGAACCAGACTTGGCACACAGAATTCCCATGACCAACAGAAAATACTGGGCTTGGTGAGCATTGACTTTGAGTTTTGGAGTTGTAATTCACCTACATCCAGAGAGCACTGTGGACTCAAACAATGATGGATCTGGACCAAACTTGGCATGAGTACTCAATATGCACAAATGTGAACACAAGTGGAGTTTGAGAAAAATAGACTTGACATTTGGGAGTTGTGGTTGCTGGGATTTATAGTTCATATACAATCAAAGAGCATTCTGAACCCCACCAATGACAGAATTGGGCCAAACTTCCCACACAGGACCCCCATGCCTTGAAGGGACTCACTGGCACAAGCCACCCTCCAGTCTCGTATGCTCTCCCCTCCCCATTTGGAATCTTAGAAACAGCCCTCCCCTTTGCTGAGAGGCTGGCCAATCACAGCGCAGGAGGGCTTTTGGTGGGAGGATTCGCCATCTGTTTCCAAAAAGGAAGAGAAGGACAGGCGGAGATATCTTCAGCCTTCTGTGCCAAAGATGTTCCTATGGCCATCAGAAATATATGTTTTCTGATGGTCTTTGGTGATCCCTCTGAAACCCCTTTATGACCCCCCCCCCCAGGGGTCCCGACCCCTAGGTTGAGAAACACTGCATTAGAAGTACAGGGATCTAGTAAATCTATCCTTCTGTGACTTATCTCTGCTTTCTCTTTTTCCTAAACATAGAAAATTTGTTACAGAGAGAAAGATCTTAAGAGTTTCTTTTGATTGCTACCATTAAGAGTGGTTTGTTTGGAAGCAGCCTCATTTGCATTATTGCAAAAGTGACTTAAAGTGTCATCAACTCCAAGAACAGAACACGTTCCTTAAAAATGTTCGGGAAGATCTGCATACATGCAAAACCATGAAAACCCAGATATATCTATCCTAAACTCTGACCTTGAATTTGGAGATGAGAATAAAGATACAAGCTTTAACCATTTTAATTGGTAGATTTATCAACTAATACTTCACTTAATTAACAGATAGGGGGATGATTAATTTCGGTCGCTGGGGCTTTGCGTTCACAGAATGGTTGTTCGGTTCTTGTGCATTACTATAACTGAGACTCAGAAAGATTAGATTAAAGAGGTACTTTTCTCCTTAAAATGGAAGTTGATGCAAATTTATATAAATGTAATCAATTAAAACAGCTGATATCTTAAAAGGCAGATTACTAATCAAGTCAAGATTCTTTAATTGGTCAACAGCCCTTATTCGTAATAGGATTCTGCTTCATAGAGGGAGTCCGGTTAAATTAATTTAGTAGCCAAGCGATGATCCAATTTATTCTGAAAGCCACCTGGTGATCAAGATTATAGATATTTACACACATATACCTGTTGGCAATCTGTTCAAGCATGGCGTCAACACTAATAATTACCTTGGGTTTCCTTTCTTCTCTTTTTTAGTTCCTTTTGGCTGCTAAAACATCCGTAACTGTCTTTTGGTTAAGATGCCTTTCTAATTTGCTTGAGGTAGCTTTTAAACTACCTGCATTTATAAATAGGTCTAGGGTGAGATTTCCATTTCAGTTCATTTTTTAATAAGAGCTTAACAAAATGTGCCTTTTTCATATTTGCAGTGATAAGAGCTTCTATGGGGAAAACTTCAAATTTTAAAAATACAACCTGAATGTACAATGTGTACGATGTACAGAGGAAAACAGAAAATAATTTGACTTCATAAAAATCTGGTTTGGAATCCTAAAGTATTTTAACATATTTACACCAAATAGGGCTCATATAAAGCACATTAATGGCACCAGGTGCAACACGATCTTTTTGTGCTGGGAAGAGTGGTACCTATTGAATCTGGATTGAAGAAATGTATATATGCAGTTTGGTTTGATTTAGTGCCACTAAAAAGAATTTACCAGCATTTGCAAAATTTACCATATTTGAGATAGAAAGTACTAAACGTTTTTTTTTAAAAAAAACTTAATTGTATTAAAAAAACAAACAAACTTTAGCCATCAACCCTATCCTTACAATTGATTTTCACCAGTCCCCACCTGTGCCCAGAAACCGATTTTTATTGCAGATTTATTGGTTGCTGGTTGATATCTGCTTTTATATTATTGTTATAATGTTGTTTTATTTTGTTTATGTTGTTGATGATGTATTTAATGTGTTTTATTTTAACTATGTTGATCGGGCTCATCCCCATGTAAACCGCCCCGAATCCCCTTGGGGAGATGGAGGCGGGGTACAAAAATAAAATTATTATTATTATTATATTAAATTGTAAACTGGCTGTTTTCCCCATACTTCTTTAGAAGTGTTGAAAATGTTTCTCATCATTTGGATAAAACTCTCCACAAAGTCTTGAAAAATGAAAGGAGTAATTAAAAAACTAGTGTACAAGGATGATTTAGATTTCGGTAATATTGGGAGCCTCCAGTGGCACAGTGGGTTGAATCACTGAACTGCTGAACATGCTGACCAAAAGATTGGTGGTTTAAATCTGGGGAGCGGGGGGAGCTCCTGCTGTTAGCCCCAGCTTCTGCCAGCCTAACAGTTCAAAAACATGCAAATATGAATACATTAATAGATACTACTCCGGCAGGAAGGTAATGGCGCTTCATGCAGTCATGCTGGCCACATGACCTTGGAGGTGGCTATGGACAATGCTGGTTTGACTTAGAAATGGAGATGAGCACCACCTCCCAGAGTTGGACACGACTAGGCTTAATGTCATGGGGAAACTCTTAACTTACTAATATGTACATTTTTGCACATGCTTTTACACACAGTACTTTTTTTGGTGGAAAACAGAAAGAAAACTGCTCTGAAAATGTTTTCTGAGCAAAAACCACCAAATCTGAATTTTGTACAGAATAAGGCAAACATGATTCATTAGAAAAGACAGTAATATTTATTAAATTGGGAAGCTATAGGAAATGAGGAAATCACTCTGAAAATGTTGTTTTCTGAGCAAAAACCACCAAATCTGAATTTTGTGCAGAATAAGGGAAGCATGATTCATTAGAGAAGACAGTGATATTTATTAAATTGGGAAGCTGCAGGAAATGAGGAAGACTACATTCTCGGTGGATAACTAAATCAAGGAAGCTATAGCCCTTGGGTTACAGGACAGAATGTCTTAGAGGACTCTCATTCACAGTGTTGCCATAAATCTAAGCCAACCTGATGAGAAATCACAGAAAGAAGTCCCAAACTGCAAATATTCTCTCCAGTCCATGGTTTTTTGTCAGGGTTTTTTGGCACTCAAGAAAAAGCAAGCCCAAATAATTAAAAAATTGTACTCTGTTTTTATGTCAACTAAATTATCTTGAAGAGCCTCCAGAGACAACGGTTGCTCTCCTGCTGCTGATGTAGGTATTTACTTATTGCCTCTGAGCTTTGAGACATAACACTCATCCTGATTATTAGCCAAGGTTCTTTGATTAATTTGGTGAAAAATCTATGCAAGCTAGGTGCCTTCACTAGATCCATCGCAGTAAATTCTTAAAATTAACAATACGTGCTGGTCTGGGTACTATCCAATTCCTTGCATAGCGTGAAAAATTCACCTTTCTGTATTGCAGCTACCAGAAGCCACCAAACCTTCCTGTGTCATGGTCTCTTCAAGACCTGCTCATCCCTTAAATCCCTAGACTGGACAAAGTGTAAATCTATTTGCAAGTAAGCAACTCAGCTTGTCATTTCTATGTCCCTTATTGAAATTTCACCAAAGCCTCATTGAAGCTGTGAGGAGCATTGCAGGGGAACGGAGTAGCTCTCTAAGGGCAAAGACAGACAAACATCAAAAAGAGGCTCACTGAACTGTGAAAGCATTTTGAGCTCTCTTTTGAACATGCATCAGAAGCACAGCAGCCCGCTGAATGCTGTTGCACTGCAGGCACTGACTGGCCGCTTGGTTGTTACCTCTCCTCTTTCGTCTCCTGCTGGGGGAACAAAGCACTGGCAGCCATTTGCTGGAGACGCAAGGATGTTGCCCTGTTCAGGTGCAGGGCACTTTAGATGCTTCCAGATGGATGCCTCCTGGTGGTACCAATCAAAAGACATTGCACAGTTATTCCCTCTTTCTGTCTTTAATGGATTTCTTTGTGGAAAGAAATAAAAAGATGAAGCTGTGAGAAAACCCAGGAGAGTTACAAATGGAAAGCAACAACAACATCCACACCCCAGTATCAGAGGCAATATGCCTGTGTATTTAGGTTGCCAGGGAATGGATGTTGAGTGAAGAGGCACTCATGGCTTGCTGCTGGGCTTCCTAAATGCAACTGGTGGGTCAATGTGTGAACTGAATGCGTGACTTGATAGGCCTTTAGCTTGATTAGATTTATGTTCTTATGAGACAAGACAATTGGACACTCGAATTACTTTTTTCTCTCTCCCAGCAATATTAGAAGCAGTGAGAGGGAATAACTGTCAGTAGAGTGAGTTTTTCTGCACACAAAGGGAGGGAGTGTGTAAGGAAGCATTTTGCTCTTCTGCTCCCTGTCTGTCTCGTCTCCTCACCGCACTTAGGGAAAATGTTGTAGGGAAAAATGGATCCCCCACTACTTCTTATGGAAATGGACTGCTGTATCCCGGATCACTCTACATGTCTGTGGATAACTTAATGGACCTGGACCTGCTACATTGAGAACAGGGATGTCAAAACAACAACAAAAACAAAAAACAACAAAAACAACAACACAAGACTGATATATCCATGGTGGGGCTTATCTCTTAAGGCAGTCGTTCTTAACCTGTGGGCTGTGGACCACCAGTGCCACACGAGGACAAAAATCTCGTCCGTGATCTTCCTTCCTCTTTATTTATTTATTTTATTTTCGCTCCTTTTGTGCCGCCTGCCATTCCTTCCCTGTTGCTGACTATGGCATATGTTCTGTATCAGAAACTAGATTTATTAATATCTATCTATTTATTTATTTATTTACAGTATTTCTATTCCATGCTTCTCTGTAGGGAACTCAGGACAGAATACAATGTACATATACATGGCAAACATTCAATGTCATAGACACACAACATATGTAAACAGACACACAGAGACTATTTAATATTCCAGCTTTTTCATGAGGGTATTCTGGCCACCAGGGCTTCACCGTCCATTTGTGACACTGATGAAGTACTTCCTCATTCTTTGCATGCTTGCTGGAGATTTTTGTGGCGTCGTAAATTAGCCTCCCCACATAAATTTCCTACTTGACAGATGCAACTGTCTTTCGGGCTGCAGAGGTCAACAGCATGCTACACAACTTCGTTGGAAGCGCTCTCCGACCCGGGCTGGCTTCGAACTCATGACCTTTTGGTCAGTAGTGATCTTAATGCAGTTGACTCCCAGCCAGCCACACCACAGTCCCTAGAGCTGATATGGCCTATCCAATGCAATTTTCTGAATCAGCACCCAAACCAAATCTAAAGTTGACCAAAAACATTAATACCTTTTGTTATTAATGTTGGAGAGTGGGCCCTGGTTAAGTAGTCCCTGGTCAAGTGGTTCCTGGTCAAAAAAAGGTTGGGAACAACTGTCTTAAGGGGATGAGTCTGCCTATTGGGATGAGGTGGATCGGCTGCTCATGCGGTACAGGGAGAATAATCTGGTTCTTAACATTAATAAGACCAAAGAGTTCATAGTAGACTATAGACAGAACAGACCAGAAATGCAGCTCTTGGTAATAAATGGAGACCAAGTGGAGTGGGTGGCCAGTTTTAAGTTCCTGGGTGTTTCTGTTAAGGAGGATCTGACTTAGGGCACCCATACAGCAGTGTTGATTAAGAGGGCCCAGCGCAGACTGAATGAAAAACTGCTGGTGACTTTCTACCACTGTGCTATAGAGAGTATCCTAACCTACTGCATCTGTGTGTCGTTTGTTAACTGCACAGTGACGGATAGTAAGGCACTTCAAAGGGTCACCGCTTCTGCACAGAGAATCATTGGTTGCTCTCTCCCCTCTTTGGAAGAACTTTATCGATCCCACAGGCTTAAGAAAGCTCAGAGCATTCTTGGGGATCCATCTCACCCTGCATATTCTTTTTTGAATTACAGTAGATTCTTGCTTATCCAACATAAATGGGCCGGCAGAACACTGGATAAGCGAAACCGTTGGAGAAGGAGGGATTATGAAAAAGCCTATTAAATGTCAAATTACGTTATGATTTTACGAAGTAAGCACCAAAACATCTTGTTTTACAACAAAGCAGTTGAATACACAGTAATGTTGTGTAGTAACAACTGTATTTACAAATTTAGCACCAAAACATCACAATGTATTGAAACAGCTGTGGATCTGGGTGGGAGGCAGACTGCATTGTATAATGCAGATTGTTGGATGAACGAAGGTTGGATAAGCGAGACTCTGCTGTATTACTATCTGGCAGACAGTACAGAGTGACAAAGGCAAGGACAAACAAACTGAGAAACAGTTTTATCATAGAGCTGGAACTGTAATGAACTCCATGACTTCACATTGATGTGGTACTGAGGGCTGTGCAGTGGGGTGTGATTGTGGAGGGATGGGTGTGTTGTTTGTGATGTGTGCTGGGGAAAACATTAAATTTCATTGTACAATGACAAAGTTATTCTATTCTGTTCTATTCTATTCTGAGCTTTGAGATAACCTCCAAAATTCCAGGAGATTGCGCATCCACCACTGCTGAGAAAACAGCTCCTGAGAGACATAAAGGCACATATTGTGATTCTGGAAAGGAAATATCAAGAAGGTTTATGATGACAAGAAGTGGGCAAAAGTAATGGCCATGAGTCCCAGCAGTATCAACAGTAATATGCCAAGAGTCCCATTTCACACGAATGACCGTATATCCTCCCAATATAGAGGTGCTATTGGCAGTGATAGTCCCAAGGGAGTAAACCTGCTGCTGAGTTCACTGTACTGAGATTGTGCATTTACTCAGTAAATAACACCTATGTCTACTCTGGCCAGTTTCAGTCATCAGTAGAACCAAGGCTGATTCATTCCGGTCGTGGATGGAGTTGCATATAGAATAAAGTGAAGAAGTAGAACTACCCTCAAATTCACAGTCACCAACTCCCCAACATAAGCAGATCATGCCCTGTTAGATGGGAAACACAAATGGTAAGGCTCCATTTGTGGAGCCTTACCATTGTCCCCTCTGTAATTCAATTGCAAGGCAAATGTAATGAAAGACTGGAAAATTTACTTTCCTGGATTATATATTCTAGAGTTGTCTAAGAGTGTGGATTTTTACCTAAATCTGTGTATAAGAAGCGAGTCAAATATAGGATAGATCTGTAATTGAGTAGTCCACTGACTATATCAACAATAAAAGACAAAAACAGAAATGCATAGACAAATAGAAGAGTGAATACACACACACAAGACTGTGCCTTCTGTATCCCAAATGAGCACATTTCTCAAATTTGCTAACATCATAAATTTCTTCCCTGTCTACTACTGAATAGGAGGTTCAAAATAATATGGCATGTTCAAAATGCCTGGATGCTTACTGTCAAATTTCCACTTCTGAATCTTGTACTCCAGTTACATTTTACATCTTCCCTTGCAGTAGTGAGGACTAGAATTTCTTTTAAGGAGGTTAATTTCGTTAAACTGCAAACTCAATGTCATTTTTGGCACTTGAATAGCTAATATAATAATGGAATTAATATTATTAATATTAATACTAGGGTGATTTTAATGCTTTGTCTGAACGTTTATATTTTGTTTATGTCAGTGTTTCTCAACCTTCCTAATGCAGCGACCCTTTAATACAGTTCCTCATATTTTTTTGACCCCCAACCATAAAATTATTTTTGTTGCTACTTCACAATTGTAATTTTGCTATGAATCGTAATGTAAATATCCGATATGCAGAATGTATTTTCATTCACGGAACCAAATTCGGAACAAATACCTGATATGGCCAAATTTGAATAGTGGTGAGGTTTGGGGTGGGGGGGACTATTGAGCTTGTCATTTGGGAGTCGTGGTTGCTGGGATTTAGAGTTCATCTATAATCAAAGATCATTCTGAACTCCACCAACAATGGATTTGAACCAAGCTTGGCGACCCCCCCCCCCCGGGTCGTGACCCCCAGGTTGAGAAACACTGGTTTATGTCTTATGTTTAATGGTTTTAGTGATTTTAAGTCAAAGTTACATGCAGCAATTAATTATTATGATTTCTTTGTGTTACTGTATTTTGGCATTGAATTTTTGCCATTAATTTGTTGTAAACCGCCGTGAGTCCCTGCAGGGGTGAGAAATGCAATATATAAATACAGAAAGTAAGTAAGTATGTAAGTAAGTAAATAAATAATACAAACATGATTATAAATATATTTTTTAAATTAATAATGGGACATACAATTGTATACTGGAACCATGGTTGAGAAGCTAGGAGACTGTTTGACCAGGTGTTTGTATGCATCTGTGGGAGGAATATATTTAAATCTAGAGTGGCCCAGCCTTTCCCAGCTTCAATCAAATATTTATTTATTTACTTATTTACTGTATTTGTATACCGCCTTTCTCCACCCTCAGGCAACTCAGGGCGGTTTACAATGGCAACGATTCATTGTCCAAAAACACCATAAAATATTTAAAAAACATTAACACATAATATAAAACCATATCAAGAATATTAAAACATAGATCATTTGCATCTCTTAATAAAAAAACATTATCCATCTCATCGTTCCTATACATAAATCTTATATCAGAATACACATGGACTTTTGTAGGAATGGTAGCAGAAAGCAAGTTTCAAGAGCTTGCCCTGCAAAATTGATCTGGAAGTTGCATCTGCTGGAAACTTTCTCGTGCAGTTACCTTTTAAGACACTTTTCTATGAAGGGAAAATGATTCTGTCAGAATCTGCCAGTGAGAGAGCCAATTTATACATCTTTTAAAGAGAGCGTTTCAACTTGGGTTGCTGGTTGACAGTCAGATGTTTGAATGGTGCTGCTATTTCAAAGGATCCCCACTCCTGGGTGCACATAAAAACTAGCTTTTTGAGGAGAAACATTCAGTCCTTGTATGCATTATATCA